CCAACAAAAATCAACTTTTTTATAAGAAAACTAAAATCGGCTGTAGATTCTTAAATAACGCTCCAATCGAGAAAATAGTGAAAATCTGTGATCACTTCTATTTTCCATCAAAAATCAACTTTTTTATAAGAAAACTAAAATCGGCTGTAGATTCTTAAATAACGCTCCAATCGAGAAAATAGTGAAAATCTGTGATCACTTTTAAATCCCATCAAAAATCAACTTTTTTTATAAGAAAACTAAAATCGGCTGCAGATTCTTAAATAACGCTCCAATCGAGAAATTAGTGAAAATCTGTGATCACTTGTAAATCCCATTAAAAATCAACTTTTTTATAAGGAAACTAAAATCGGCTGTAGATTCTTAAATAACGCTCCAATCGAGAAAATAGTGAAAATCTGTGATCACTTCTATTTTCCATCAAAAATCAACTTTTTTATAAGAAAACTAAAATCGGCTGTAGATTCTTAAATAACGCTCCAATCGAGAAAATAGTGAAAATCTGTGATCACTTCTATTTTCCATCAAAAATCAACTTTTTTATAAGAAAACTAAAATCGGCTGTAGATTCTTAAATAACGCTCCAATCAAGAAAATAGTGAAAATCTGTGATCACTTCTATATCCCATCAAAAATCAACTTTTTTATATGAAAACTAAAATCGGCTGTAGATTCTTAAATAAGGCTCCAATCGAGAAAATAGTGAAAATCTGTGATCACTTCTATTTTCAATCAAAAATCAACTTTTTTATATGAAAACTAAAATCGGCTGTAGATTCTTAAATAACACCCCAATCGAGAAAATAGTGAAAATCTGTGATCACTTCTATATCCCATCAAAAATCAACTTTTTTATTTGAAAACTAAAATCGGCTGTAGATTCTTAAATAAGGCTCCAATCGAGAAAATAGTGAAAATCTGTGATCACTTCTATTTTCAATCAAAAATCAACTTTTTTATATGAAAACTAAAATCGGCTGTAGATTCTTAAATAACGCTCCAATCGAGAAAATAGTGAAAATCTGTGATCACTTCTAAATCCCATCAAAAATCAACTTTTTTATAAGAAAACTAAAATCGGCTGTAGATTCTTAAATAACGCTCCAATCAAGAAAATAGTGAAAATCTGTGATCACTTCTATATCCCATCAAAAATCCATTTTTATATAAGAAAACTAAAATCGGCTGTAGATTCTTAAATAACGCTCCAATCGAGAAAATAGTGAAAATCTGTGATCACTTCTATTTTCCATCAAAAATCAACTTTTATAAGAAAACTAAAATCGGCTGTAGATTCTTAAATAACGCTCCAATCGAGAAAATAGTGAAAATCTGTGATCACTTCTATATCCCATCAAAAATCCATTTTTATATAAGAAAACTAAAATCGGCTGTAGATTCTTAAATAACGCTTCAATCGAGAAAATAGTGAAAATCTGTGATCACTTCTTTCTATATCCCATCAAAAATCAACTTTTTTTATAAGAAAACTAAAATCGGCTGTAGATTCTTAAATAACGCTCCAATCGAGAAAATAGTGAAAATCTGTGATCACTTCTATATCCCATCAAAAATCCATTTTTATATAAGAAAACTAAAATCAACTTTTATATAAGAAAACTAAAATCGGCTGTAGATTCTTAAATAACGCTCCAATCAAGAAAATAGTGAAAATCTGTGATCACTTCTATATCCCATCAAAAATCCATTTTTATATAAGAAAACTAAAATCGGCTGTAGATTCTTAAATAACGCTCCAACCGAGAAAATAGTGAAAATCTGTGATCACTTCTATATCCCATCAAAAATCAACTTTTTTATTTGAAAACTAAAATCGGCTGTAGATTCTTAAATAAGGCTCCAATCGAGAAAATAGTGAAAATCTGTGATCACTTCTATTTTCAATCAAAAATCAACTTTTTTATATGAAAACTAAAATCGGCTGTAGATTCTTAAATAACACCCCAATCGAGAAAATAGTGAAAATCTGTGATCACTTCTATATCCCATCAAAAATCAACTTTTTTATTTGAAAACTAAAATCGGCTGTAGATTCTTAAATAAGGCTCCAATCGAGAAAATAGTGAAAATCTGTGATCACTTCTATTTTCAATCAAAAATCAACTTTTTTATATGAAAACTAAAATCGGCTGTAGATTCTTAAATAACGCCCCAATCGAGAAAATAGTGAAAATCTGTGATCACTTCTAAATCCCATCAAAAATCAACTTTTTTATAAGAAAACTAAAATCGGCTGTAGATTCTTAAATAACGCTCCAATCAAGAAAATAGTGAAAATCTGTGATCACTTCTATTTTCCATCAAAAATCAACTTTTTTATAAGAAAACTAAAATCGGCTGTAGATTCTTAAATAACGCTCCAATCAAGAAAATAGTGAAAATCTGTGATCACTTCTATATCCCATCAAAAATCAACTTTTTTATAAGAAAACTAAAATCGGCTGTAGATTCTTAAATAACGCTCCAATCGAGAAAATAGTGAAAATCTGTGATCACTTCTATTTTCCATCAAAAATCAACTTTTTTATAAGAAAACTAAAATCGGCTGTAGATTCTTAAATAACGCTCCAATCAAGAAAATAGTGAAAATCTGTGATCACTTCTATTTTCCATCAAAAATCAACTTTTTTATAAGAAAACTAAAATCGGCTGTAGATTCTTAAATAACGCTCCAATCAAGAAAATAGTGAAAATCTGTGATCACTAAATCTGAATGAAAACTAAAATCGGCTGTAGATTCTTAAATAAGGCTCCAATCGAGAAAATAGTGAAAATCTGTGATCACTTCTATTTTCAATCAAAAATCAACTTTTTTATATGAAAACTAAAATCGGCTGTAGATTCTTAAATAACGCCCCAATCGAGAAAATAGTGAAAATCTGTGATCACTTCTAAATCCCATCAAAAATCAACTTTTTTATAAGAAAACTAAAATCGGCTGCAGATTCTTAAATAACGCTCCAATCAAGAAAATAGTGAAAATCTGTGATCACTTCTATATCCCATCAAAAATCAACTTTTTTATAAGAAAACTAAAATCGGCTGTAGATTCTTAAATAACGCTTCAATCGAGAAAATAGTGAAAATCTGTGATCACTTCTATTTTCCATCAAAAATCAACTTTTTTATAAGAAAACTAAAATCGGCTGTAGATTCTTAAATAACGCTCCAATCAAGAAAATAGTGAAAATCTGTGATCACTTCTATTTTCCATCAAAAATCAACTTTTTTATAAGAAAACTAAAATCGGCTGTAGATTCTTAAATAACGCTCCAATCAAGAAAATAGTGAAAATCTGTGATCACTTCTATATCCCATCAAAAATCAACTTTTTTATAAGAAAACTAAAATCGGCTGTAGATTCTTAAATAACGCTCCAATCAAGAAAATAGTGAAAATCTGCGATCACTTCTATTTTCCATCAAAAATCAACTTTTTTATAAGAAAACTAAAATCGGCTGTAGATTCTTAAATAACGCCCCAATCAAGAAAATAGTGAAAATCTGTGATCACTTCTATATCCCATCAAAAATCAACTTTTTTATAAGAAAACTAAAATCGGCTGTAGATTCTTAAATAACGCTCCAATCGAGAAAATAGTGAAAATCTGTGATCACTTCTATTTTCCATCAAAAATCAACTTTTTTATAAGAAAACTAAAATCGGCTGTAGATTCTTAAATAACGCTCCAATCAAGAAAATAGTGAAAATCTGTGATCACTTCTATATCCCATCAAAAATCTATATCCCATAAGAAAACTAAAATCGGCTGTAGATTCTTAAATAACGCTCCAATCAAGAAAATAGTGAAAATCTGTGATCACTTCTATATCCCATCAAAAATCCATTTTTATATAAGAAAACTAAAATCGGCTGTAGATTCTTAAATAACGCTCCAATCAAGAAAATAGTGAAAATCTGTGATCACTTCTATATCCCATCAAAAATCAATTTTTATATAAGAAAACTAAAATTGGCTGTAGATTCTTAAATAACGCTCCAATCGAGAAAATAGTGAAAATCTGTGATCACTTCTATTTTCCATCAAAAATCAACTTTTTTATAAGAAAACTAAAATCGGCTGTAGATTCTTAAATAACGCTCCAATCGAGAAAATGGTGAAAATCTGTGATCACTTCTAAATCCCAACAAAAATCGACATTTTTATAAGAAAACTAAAATCGGCTGTAGATTCTTAAATAACGCTCCAATCGAGAAAATAGTGAAAATCTGTGATCACTTATAATCCCATCAAAAATCATCTTTTTTATAAGAAAACTAAAATCGGCTGTAGATTCTTAAATAACGCTCCAATCGAGAAAATAGTGAAAATCTGTGATCACTTGTAAATCCCATCAAAAATCAACTTTTTTATAAGAAAACTAAAATCGGCTGTAGATTCTTAAATAACGCTCCAATCGAGAAAATAGTGAAAATCTGTGATCACTTCTATGTTCCATCAAAAATCAACTTTTTTATAAGAAAACTAAAATCGGCTGTAGATTCTTAAATAACGCTCCAATCGAGAAAATAGTGAAAATCTGTGATCACTTTTAAATCCCATCAAAAATCAACTTTTTTTATAAGAAAACTAAAATCGGCTGTAGATTCTTAAATAACGCTTCAATCGAGAAAATAGTGAAAATCTGTGATCACTTGTAAATCCCATTAAAAATCAACTTTTTTATAAGGAAACTAAAATCGGCTGTAGATTCTTAAATAACGCTCCAATCGAGAAAATAGTGAAAATCTGTGATCACTTCTATTTTCCATCAAAAATCAACTTTTTTATAAGAAAACTAAAATCGGCTGTAGATTCTTAAATAACGCTCCAATCGAGAAAATAGTGAAAATCTGTGATCACTTCTATTATCCATTAAAAATCAATTTTTTTTAAGAAAACTTAACGCTCCAATCGAAAATCTTTGGTCATTTACATATATCGGCTGTAGACTCTTAAATAAAATCCGAAAAAACTTGAATATAGTTAAAGAGTTATGCTTTATTTAAATAAATTTGTGCATTTTAAAATAAACACCGAAATTATTACAGGACTACTAAATACTAGCACCTGCAACCTGTATGTGCCTAAAACAGTTATACATATGTTCCATAATTAAATCTAATACAACACTGTTTAAATCCTTTAAAATCTTGGTTTGAAATTTTGAGGATATTGATTGAAACGCGGACGCAAGGCAACATTGGCCTTATCGTCTTTGCCAGATTGTCCCAAAATAACACCCTCAGCTAATTTGACATCTTTGCCGGGCGGGGTATTGGCTTCAGCTACATCGATTATGCGGGGATTTTTACGATATTTATACCACCAGTACTCGAATACCAAAGTAATACATGCCATGCCAATGCCAACGAAGATAACTATGAATACTCCACCAATATTTTCAATAGAAATACCATCTGATTGATCTTCGGGTTTGTCGCATTTCGCTTGAGCCTCGTCATTCTTCCACCATTTTTCTTTGAGTTTTTCCAATTGACGTTTGTTGAGTAAAGTTAATATACTAAAAAAAAATGGAGTGTTTATACAAACATTCTTAGTTTAAGGGAAATTTCCATATAAAACTTACGCATTATTAAACTGATCCTTGAGATGAGAACCCTGTTGTACTGCTATGGCGTAAGGTTTACGTGAAAACTCTTCACCCACTACTTGTAGATCACAATTTGTCATTACCAAATAACGTATATCAGTGGCATCGCCCAGAAATGCAAAACCGGTAGCGGTGGTAGAGTTACGTACCCTAGCGACTGCCTCATCTAGTGTGGAGGGCAATTGGGCCTCTTGCATTGCTTGCCACATTTTGGTGTACTTATCACTTACAGGATAATCCCATACCGCCAATTTCGATCTTTCCAAAGGAGTCAAAGAATCATTTAGAGATAAATCTTTCCAAATTTCATAAAACATTTGTTCGATATTAGCCATGCGTTCAAAATATGTCATGGCCGAGGAGCCATTAAGGGGAGCATATAAAATCTTATACTGTTTAGCCAAATCGTCTAAGGATTCAACGGGAGTGTCCAAACGAGAAACAGTCAAGAAGGCAGCCAAGTTGGCAGTATAAGAAGCAATAATAATAAAACTGAGAGCAAAAGTAATGAATTATTCAAGATACATGTATTTCTTATGATCAATTTCTATTCTTACCCAAATAACCACCAAGTAGCTGCCACCAAACGACCCGATAGATTTTTCGGAGCCTCTCCACCTCCCTGCGGTGTTAAGGAAGTCATGCAAAACCACAAACATTCCTTTAAATTAAACTCTCTCTTCTCATCGTCATCTTTATATTTCTCACGATTATTCTGATAACTATAGGGACTCCAACGATCAAATACCCACATTAGAAAACTGGTAAAGAAATACGCAGCCAATATACACAACCATACATTTGTTTCCAGCACAGTTAAAAATTTAAACAATGAACTGGGCGTACTGGGTCTTTGCATCATTATGGTTATGCCGACCAAATCGTAGTAGGGTACGGTGAAATCAATAACAATTTCTCGTTCGGCCATTACCGACATTGAACCCAAACCTATGTCAGCATGTTTATCGATTAATTTCTTGACAATGCCATTCCATTCGCCCTTCTCGTCCATGTTGCCGAATTTACCATCCTCGACTTCTTGTATTGTATAATCGAAATGTACAATTTCGGCAATTTCATTTATCAAATCGATGCAATAACCTTTATAGCCTTTAGGAGCCGTTTCATCTCTCATTATGAAGGGTGCTTGCTACAGAAAAAGAGGAAGTTATATTACGAATTTTGTAAATAAAAGAATTTTGTCCAGACTATAGGGCAGACTCTAGACCAGGCAATAGTCAATACTAAATATCAGACTACAGTTAATACTATAGAGTAGACAATAGTCATAACTCTAGACCCTGTTATAGAGTTGACAATATTCAAAATTCTAGATCAAACATTAGGCAAGACCATAGTCCAGATTATAGCGAAGACAATACTTAGTTAAAACTCTAGACGAGACTATAAAGCAAACAATAGTGCAGAATCTAGGCCAGACTATAGAGCAGCCTGTAGTCCAGACTATAGTTCAGATTATTGTTAAGACTAGAGGTGAAGATTATAATCAAGATTAGAGAGCAAAATGTAGTTAAGTAGTCAAGGCTATAGAGCATATTGTAGTCAAGACTATTAGCCAGACTATAGTATAGACTATAAACTGGACTATAGTCAAGACTATGGACTAGAATGTAATAAAAATTCAAATACTCTCATTCTTTAAACTTACCACCACTGTAAAAATTCTATAAACCGTATCGGCCGTAAGATTTTTCATAGCCTCTTCATCTTTAACGGTCAGCGAAGATTCTAAACCAGCAGTCCAAGTACCAATTGATTTACTATTAACCGAATTTCCACCACGTATTTGTATAACATTAATATCCATTTCAAATTTAGAATAACTGTAACCATTAAAGGTTTTACCCGGTTGAGTAACTAATTCAAAATCACCATAAGAAGTGGGCTCTTGAACCTATGAAATATTTTAATGAGAATACACACATCATATAATATATTAATAAATCTTTTAAGTACTTGTATAAAATATTGTTTTAAATCAATATTTCTTTCCGGTGTATTGCCACCTTGAAAATCATCACAGCCCAAATATTCCATATTTGCAGTCCAGGCGCCTGATTGTAACATTTCTCTGAAAATTTAAAAAAACAATATAACAATTCAAATGTTTTAGAAAACATTAAAACCATACTTGATTGCCAAAAATGTTCTCAAGGCCAAATCGAAATAGAAAACCGACATAATCTGTGGTTCCTCATTTAAATTGTAGGTGGTACGCAGTAGACCCAAACGTTCACGATTTTGAGGATAAACTACCGGTTTTAAAAACATAATGGTAGCATTATCACGTTTACTCGAAACTTCACCCTCATTTTGGGTTATAGCATGCCAAGCAAAATTACGCTCGAAAAAGGCCGGTTTAACCGATTCTACAATATATAAAATAAAACAATTTTAATACAACTTTGTAATTAAATCCAAAAAAACTCACCCAACACCTGACCAATCGTTTTAAGACTACCCAATATAAAGAAATTATTAATATCTAAATTTCTTAATCTCTCAATTTGATCGGCTCGTGCCCTTTCACCTTCCGCCACTGCCGTTATAACATGACGAGTTTGTATATTTTGCAATAATGACTTGTATTTGTGGTCCATAACAAAAGTATCATCATATAAAATGGCTGCATTGGTAATATTCATTTTACGCACGATACTCCTTACCACTTCCGGTATTATATCAGCCGGTGGCATAACTTGTAATAGATATTTTTGTTTACTTTCCTCCATGTCACGCCATTGTCTTAAATCACCCTCTTGACCATAGGAGGCACTTACCGTAGGCAAACCGAGAGCTTGAGTAAATGATTTAACCGTTTCCGATGCTATTCCTGATTTTGTAGTATCGAATACAACATGTGGCGGTTGTTTATTCTCAATGCTTTGGGCATATTTGGTGCAAACTGGTGAGAATCAAAGAAATAATAGTTTCTAAATTTTCCTCGTATTTAAATATTAGTGTGTACACTTACTCGATTCCAAAAGTGCTTTAGCATCCGTTTTATTTGCTTCGATTTTATCGATTTGCACCGACAATCCATAGTTGGAGTTTTTCTTTAAATACGTTTGTACCGTTTCTATAGCTTTAGTGGCTGGATCGTTGTCTAATTCGTTGATAAATACTAAAGGGGAGAAATTTAATTTCAATTGATTTTAGAAGTTAATTAAAGTGGGTTTTACAAAATTATAGACCAAGCTATAGGCAAGACTATAGACCAGATGATAGGCTAGACTATAGACCAGACTATAGGAAAGACTATAGACCAGACTTTAGTAATGACTATAGACCAGACTTTAGTCATGATTATAGACCAAGCTATGGGCAAAACTATAGACCAGATGATAGGCTATTAAGGAACGACTATAGACCAAACTAAAGACCAGTCTAAAGACCAGACTATATACCAGACTATAGTCAAGACTGTACTCAAGACTATATGTAAGACTATAGACTAGACTATAAACGAGACTAAAGACCAGACTATAGACCAGACTTTAGTCATGATTATAGATCAAGCTATGGGCAACACTATAGACCAGATGATAGGCTAGACTATAGACCAGCCTATAGAAAAGACTATAGACCAGACTTTAGTCAAGACTGTAGACCAGACTATTGGCAAGATTATATACCAGACTATAAGAAAGACTATATATCACATAAAATAGACCAGATGATAGGCAAGACTAAATACAAGATCATAGACTATACAAGATCAGACTATAGTTAGGACCAGTATAGACCAGACTATAGGTAAGATTATAAACCGGACAATAATGAAGACTATAGACAAGACAATAGGTAAGACTATAGACCAGAGTATAGTCAATACTATAGATTAGACTATAGTTAAGGAGGTATACAAGACAATTACCAATATTATAGTCAAGAAAATAGACAGACTATAGCTGAGAAAAGTGTTCTGGAAATGGTCCTGACTAGACTATAGTTATGTTAAAGTGTTTTCGTATAACTTTTTACATTTAAAATAAAAGTATTTAAAAAACATATAATTTCCAATAAATTATTTATACATCATAAATTGTTGGCTGGAATAAAGAATCATGATGGTTTTATAAGTCAATTTAAAAAATAAATACTAATTAATTTAATATAATATATGTATTAAAATGTATATGCAGGATAAAATGCTAATATTTACATAGAGAACGTATTCCATAGTTATATTACACTCAAATAATTTTGTTAGTGGAATTCGTATATTTTTTATTTTCAATGTTTTATTTTTTACAAATCGTTATCGAACACTGAATTCAATTCCCATTTTCCAATTAAAGGATAACGATATTTTGTTGGAATTCTAAAAAAAAAATAAAACAATTATTCCAGATGTAAGGATAAAATAAAAAATTCTGCTATTCCAAAAAATGTTGCCTGAATGGACTTTGAACATTAGGAAAAAGTGTCGTCATTATCGATTATCAGAATTAAGTGTATAATTAATTATTAAGATTTTCAAACTGATAATTTGTTTGTGGATAAATATTTAATAAAAACTTTATTATAATTAAATGTCAAGTCTACGAAAAAAACCTGATTTAGTTAGTCAAACCTCACACCCTCTTCACCAGATTAATCCAATTAATTATAGAATTTAAGTTAACTTTTTATTTTGTATATATAACGATATAATATATGTATATGAAAGTTCTTCGATTTTAGCTATTTCAGAATATAATTTTTATTAAAAATACATATATAATGTAATTTATCAAATTCTTAAAATTACCATTTTACTTACAAACATTAATATTTTGACTTGTCTGTCCCCTCACGATTTTATCTTTTATCGAAATTCCCAAAATTATAAAAAATATAATTTTGAAAATATTAAAATAAGGCAAAATCATGGTCTTTTTTCAAATGACCTTCAACATGGAGTAATTATTAGAAAAAAAAAATATATAATAATAAGTTAATAAAATAATTTCTTTTTTTTTTTTTGTTTTCACTCCGTTTCCGACGATTTTATTACAGCGAGTTCTAAAATATAACTGAATTTCTATATACTACTGTGTTTTGGAAATAGAATAGAAAAATAGAATTGTAACGGAAATTGTTTTAATATATTAAAGGGTACTTTAATGTTACTATTAGACGGAGTGACCACACAACTTATTGAAAGGATAATTGTGTTTACACATGAGCATTTATTGTTATAATTCCTTATTGTTGTTGTATTGTTAGTTGCTAACTATTATTGATGTCCGGTTAGAAATCCTTACGATGACAGACAATTGCATGTAGCACATGTGAGTATAATATATATTAGGGTGATATGAATGTTTTAGTGAAAAAATACTATGAATTTGGTGAAATTAAGAAAGAATATTAAAATAAACAAGACTTAAGACAAAACTATAGACCAGATAATCATTAAAACTATATATCAAACTATAAACCAGATTAATTTTTAGATCAGATTTCAGTCAAGGGTATAATCAAGACTATAGAGTAAACTATAATCAGGACTATAATCACTGTAGGCCAGACTATGCTCAATATTATGGTTAAGAATGGTCAGGACTACAGACCGGGTTATAGTCAAGACCATAAACCAGACTATAGCCAATACTATACTATAGTTAAGACTACATGCTAGACTTTTAAGACTATACAGACTATAGTCAAGATCATGGAACTGATTATATTCAAGACTATATACAAGTAAGAAAGTATAGTCGGGCGTGGCCGACCATATGATACCCTACACCAGTTATGAATATTAAATATGATTTATTTTTCATAATAAAGCATTTATCTTCAATATTCAGAAAACGATTCTAAGCCGATTGGTATACTTTAAGGTGGGTCTAGGACGAATATTTTTGTATGTTACAAACATCAGCACAAATCCAATATACCCTCCCCACTAAAGTGGTGTAGGGTATAAATATACTAGACTATAGTCAAGACTACAGACCAGGCATGACTATCGCCTGGTCTACTACTATATAAATACTAGACTATAGTCAAGACTAAATACCAGACAATGGTCAAGACTATAGACCAGATTAAAGTCGGCACTTTAGACAAGGCCATAGACCAAACTATAGTCAATCCTATTGACCATACTATAATCAAAACTATAGGCAATACAAAACATCAGATAATAGTAAATGCTACGGTTAAGGTCAAAACTGTAGACAAGACTGTAGTCAATACTATAGAACTGACTGCACAATAAATAAACATTAGTCAACACAGTGTAACAGATGTTAGAATTTTTATAAATTTTTAGTTTTGCTTTAAAGATGTCCTGCTGCTTTCTAATACACCATCCTAATATATAAAAATAAACACTTTGTAACCACAAATCGACATATAAAATGATAATGAAATTTATTTTGTTTGTAAAAATTTCACTCTCATTTTTGTTGTTCGTGTAAATTTTATTATTGACCGGTGTATGAAAAATAATTTTCCCTGTTTCTTCTCTTAATTATATTAGTTATCTACAAATGTTCATAACGTTTAATTATTTTTAAAGTGTTCTAACTTAGTTCTTTTATTCTTCTGAAATTCTTTAAAAAGTTTAATTTATTGTATATTTTTAAATGTTTTGTAAACAAAATTTGGGGTTTTAAAGCTAATTCGATAAAAGATGATTTAAATATTAAAATACGTTTTTCCCTAAACTAAGTTTTACAAGTTAGTCTAGTCTTGAGGCAAATGTTTAATAGAGTATGGACATAATAAATTTATGTATGTTTTAGTGGTGTTGCACTTGATTTTATATTGTTATATATTTGTGTAGTATCCTTGGTGATTGCTTAACCACTTATAGAATGTTTACACCTTATTTTTACACTTACACAGGTACACATGTGTTTTAAATATATGTAAGAACATTAGATCAGCCCTTAAAAAATAGGTTTATTAACAATTTAAGACCAATGCAAATCCATGCGGAAAATTCTTTTTAAGAACAGGTTTAATAAACTTAGTTTTTTATGATAGAAATCTATTAATTTTCTAACGTTTTATGTCGCATATTCATTCATCATTTTTAGAGTTAATTATAAATCGGGTGGAGGATTTATTTTTTGTCCATAAATTTAATTATAAATTTAATTGTGTCAACCAAATGACAACGATTTGTCTATTTGCAATAAGATTAACTGTTTCTATAAAATTTCGACTTTCATTTAGAAATATGAGTTGTCATTGAATAGAAATATCGGTCTTACACCCACCTTAAAGTACACCACAATCGGCTCCGAATAATTAAGTTGTGTCCCTATATTTGTCTGTCAACACATGTAAGATGTGTAATCAAACTACTGGTGGCAATTTTGAAGATCATTTGATACAATTTGGCAATACTCCTCTTTTGACCCAAGAACGAAAAGATTTTAGCTCCCTTTAATACCTTTAAAAGCTCTGAATTTTACATTTCTAATCAGTATATTTATTGTAAACAATATCTTTTGTAAAAAAACTCCATATAAAACTCAGGAAAATAATTGCCATGAATTCAAAATTCACAGATCGGGCTTCTTTTTTCATACCAAAGTTAATTTGCTGTTATTAACGTTTTAAAAATTAACCCCTATATACTTTTCAAAAATAAACCGCCAAATATTATATTAACATAAATTTTTATTGACATCTGGCAGCCTTAACTATTGAAATGAACAAACTCAACACAGCTCTGTATGAGTCAGCTGGTCAGTGAAAAGACCACTTCCGAAATTTGCTTTTTTAAGACAAATGATTTGCCGATTATAACTCTTACTCCTTACTTATTTTAATCATAAAGAAATTACCGCTAAAATAAGAATAGTCTGCCTTTAGAGTTGCGAGTTTTCATACACTCTAATAATGTTTTCAAAGTGAAACTTTTGGAATATTTTTCAATCTCTTTGTGATCCCTTTAAATGATGTTGTTCTGGAAGAACTTTAACATCCATGTAAACATTTTGGGTAATAAATTGGGGGACTACCAATGAGGGGAGCGGAACCTACCATATGAATTAAAGACAAAAATTCGTTTATCTGGGAAACTAATAGAACTAAATTCTTCAAATTTTGCACGAAGAACTTTAATATTCATCTGAACATTTCGGAGAAAAAAGGGCGGACTTTCATCTGGGGGGCTTGGAGCTCCCATATGAATTAAATAGAAAAATTCGTATATCTGAGAAACTATTAGAGCTAGAATCTTCAAATTTTACTGAAGAACATTTAGAGAAATTGCAATAATTTGCGTGGAATCTCCCATATGTAACAAATTGTATATCTGGAAAACCATTGTAGTTAGAATCATCAAAATCGTTAAGTGGGTTTCTTATTTATATTGCTTTTAGGGTAGCACAGCATACTGGGTATAGCTAGTAAATAAACAAATAAAATATCTTTGTTTTTACGTTTTATATGGAGGATAGGGTTAAATATCGGCAGATCCTCGTAAAACTTGGAGAAAGAATTTGTTTTTAATTTTTAAGAATTTTGTATTCATCCCTGCATAATTTCTCACACAACTTTGGAGTTTGCTCTGTTTTGTTGTTATAAACAATATATTTGCTTCCAAAATCCCACTTTCTGATCTCTCGGATTCCGTTTTTATTTAAAATCGTTGAAAATTTAAAAACTAAACGTAGGTGAAAACTTAGCCGGCTTACAGTCGATTTTAACCCGCCGCCGACATATTTAGTGTCAGTCGCCGCCGCCGTTAATATTTGTCGGCGCAGGGCTCTGGCCGCAGAATTGTAGCAAATTCAGTGAAAGTAATTAATATTTTTATATTTTAAAGTTAATACAACATTAAAAGACGTGCGTTGTTGTAAAACTTAATAAAGTAAAAGGTAACATAAAAAAGATTCAATTGAAAGTATTGAAATATACACAAAAACGCTAACACAAAACACCACCAGCACAATGAGTGATAGTTCTGATGAAGAATGGGCTGCTGAGTGGATACCCTACAGCCAGCGTAATGAATGGGCCGATATTACGCCTATAGCCCAAGATGATGGAGAAAATCCAGTGGTGGCTATAGCATATAGTGCTAAATGTAAGTAATTTCTTTACATTTCTTTCATTAGTTTGGCATTAACAACTTTGCCGCCTTTGTCCTTTGCTTTACTACAGTTCGTGAGGTCTTTGACTATTTTCGTGCCATATTGGCGCGTCAGGAAAAGTCGGCACGAGCTTTGGATTTAACCACCGATGCTTTGCGTTTAAACCCGGCTAATTATACTGTATGGCAATATCGTCGTGATATCTTGCGTGCTCTGGGCAGTGACTTGAATGAGGAACTTAACTATATCGAAGATGTTATTACGGAAAATGCCAAAAACTATCAGGTTTGGCATCATCGTCGTGTTATTGTTGAAATGATGAATGATCCTTCGAAAGAATTGGATTTAACCGAAATGGCTTTACGTACGGATGCTAAAAATTATCATGCCTGGCAGCATCGACAATGGGCCATAAAAACATACAAGTAAGTAGTTTATTTAACAACAAAATTATTTACAATGACAATCATGATAACTGATAGTGACTCACTTGACTAAAGTAGTCGCATTAAAAGCATTTCGTAAATTAAAACTTGAAAATTTAAATATGACAGATTAAGAACTTAAAGATATCTACGTGAGATAAGAAGCGGAATTTGAATAATTTATTGCAACCATGACTAGTTAAAGGCACATTTTTTATAAAATGTTTGTTATGGATGAAATTTAATGCAAAATCTTCTGATTAATGTTAGGTTTTTATGTATAAAGAGTAGCCAATTAGAAATAAGGTTGATTGAATTGCCACCAGGTCAGATGCTTACCAGTTCTTTGCTCCAATAATGAGTATTGCAATGTTCCTTAGGGTGAGTTTAATGGATGCACATTGAGAAGAGCTTTCCATAG